TCATCAACGGGACGGGAGTGGAAACGGTTGTGTCTGCTGGTAGGAGAAATCCCAGGGATAAATGTTGCAACAATGTTAAATCAGTAGCGTGCCGTATATCCTGGAAGTCTAATTTACTTTTTTTGTTGTTGTTGTTGTTGTTGTTGTTGTTTTTGTTGTCATCGAAATTCTCAAGACCTTCCCAATGCCCACGGCCTGGCAGTAGACTGGGTGTCCAGGAACCTCTTCTGGACCAGCTATGACGCCAATAAGAAGCAGATCAATGTGGCGAGACTGGACGGGTCTTTTAAGAACGCCGTCATCCAGGGGTTGGACAAACCTCACTGTCTGGTGGTTCATCCGCTACTCGGGTGAGCGCTGTCTCTAATTACACACAGTCTGATGCTCTTAGTCATTTTATAAAGGTTCTTCCTTATTTAATGAAACTTTAATGAGGTCTTCTCTGACTTCATTGCAAACATTAGATTTGTTTTTTTTGTCTCTTACTTTGTGACTTGTAATTGGTTGTCAGTTATATATTTTCACATGCAGTCATTTTCATGCCCTCTCTCAGGAAGCTGTACTGGACCGATGGCGACAACATTAGCATGGCAAACATGGATGGAAGCAACCACACCCTGCTTTTTACCAACCAGAAAGGCCCTGTTGGTGAGCAGATGTTTAACTCGCTCTCAAATGTACAGCTGCTGTAAAATAAAACAAAAAATATGTGTTTACGTCTCCATTGCTCATGCTCAGATTAGCTATATTCTGATAACCATTTTAGCTGATTCCGATTTTTCTATAAGAATCATGAAATAAAAGATATTAGAACATTGAAAATATATATTTTCCTGCCCTTCCTGCTGTAACCAGACATTGTTGTTGATTTTTTGGAGCAGACGTGATGTCACCCTACATGTGTGACAGACCTGTCTTAATAAAACAGGATTTATAATTTCAGAGCAAAGCAAAACAGTTACGCAGCCGACATATTAAACTCTCGTTTGAATGTGGATTGCGTTACTAAAACAGCAGACTCACTCTGAGCGTTCCCTCGATCAGGCGAGTATGAATGATTCATCACAAAAAGAAAGCACTTCAAAAGACTACAAAAACGGGAAAAAAAATCTTTATATGAAAAAAAAACATGATTTTATATTTTGTTTTGGGGGTGGGGAGGAGTGATAAACAATTTGAATAAAAAGGAGAAAATCTGTAAATTATTGGCGATCTAACCACTGGAAATGTCTTTCTTAAAACAGAGACATATGCTTTCCTAAATTACTTAGGTGGATAGTTTATTGCCTTTAAGTTTGTTTTTGAGCAAAATGGATTTTTGGTCGTACTCTGCTATGAGATTAAAAGGAAAGTGTCTCAATATGAAAATGTCATTTTCTTTTGAATATTTTCTTTCTACAATCATGGCTACTTGTATGTGTTTCTTCTTCATTTTAAATACCCTACTGAGTGTTATTCCTTCAGTAACAGCGTCTGCACTGAATATTTCTTTTGGCACCATGACAATCTGTTTATTGTGGCAGATATACATGGATTGTGACACAATATTTCTTTTTGCCAAGGACTTTCCATTGACTATGAGACGAAGCAGCTGTACTGGATCAGCTCGGGTAACAGCACTATTAACCGGTGCAAACTGGACGGATCTAAACTGGAGATACTGGAAGGTGTCAAAGGCAAACTTAACAAGGCGACTGCTCTGGCTATCATGGGTAAGATGAAAAACCAATTACAAGCAGTGTGTTATTTATTCAGGGTTTTTTCTTACAGTTGGTAATCCTCTGCTTTGATAATTGAATAATCCAGAACAATATGTATGAATTTCGATGTCTGTAGGAGACAAGCTGTGGTGGGCAGACCAGGGAGCAGACCAGATAGGAACGTGCGACAAGACGGACGGCGGAAACTGGAAGGTTTTGCGTAACAACACTTCGCCTATGATGCACATGAGGATCCACGACGAGGATGTGCAGAAAGGTAAAAAATATTTGACCAAGGTTGGAATACGACGCGGTTAAATAAATGAAAAGAGTAACTCCTCCTCACTTTATCTGATCTTCCTTTAGCGGGAATCAACCTGTGCAGCAACAATAATGGCGACTGCTCGCAGCTGTGTCTGCCCACTTCCCCGACGACGAGGTCCTGCATGTGCACGGCTGGATACAGCCTCAAAACCGGGCAGCAGTCCTGTGAGGGTAGGAAACTCATCCGCAAACACAGCTTTGGTTCTTTCAAAGCCTTCCCACAACATACACCGTGCTCCCTTTACAGGTATGGGATCTTTCCTGCTTTATTCGGTTCATGAGGGAATTAGGGGTATTCCCCTCGACCCGGCAGACAAATCTGACGCCTTGGTGCCCGTGTCTGGCACTTCTCTGGCTGTGGGCATCGACTTCCACGCTGGTGAGAAGCACTTAAAGATGTAGGCAAATAGTAGGCTGGTTTCGGGGTGATATTTGAAAAGCTGTAATTATCTTCTGTGCAGAGAATGACACCATCTACTGGGTGGACATGGGACTGAGCACCATCAGCAGAGCAAAGAGGGATCAGACGTGGAGAGAGGATGTGGTGACCAATGGCATCGGCAGAGTGGAGGGGATCACCGTGGACTGGATAGCAGGTTTGGCTTCTAAACTGTTTAGATCCTATTTTATTTATCTTATTTTATTTATACATTCAAGCATTTTAAACGCAGATATAAACTCATTTGCATAAATTTGCGGCTACAGGAAACATTTACTGGACCGACCAGGGCTTTGATGTGATCGAAGTAGCCAGACTGAATGGCTCATTCCGCTATGTGGTCATCTCCCAGGGGCTGGACAAACCCAGAGCTATAACTGTCCACCCAGTGAAAGGGTCAGCCTCTTTATCCACACTTTACTCTCATGTCTCAGCTTTACCTTAAGGAAAAGGAACCAGGCATGTCTTTATTTCTAAATGACACCAAAACGGCCTCCTGCATGTGTGTGTGTGTGTGTGTGTGTGTGCAGGTATTTGTTCTGGACAGAGTGGGGTCAGTACCCTCGTATTGAGCGCTCGCGCCTGGACGGCTCCCAGAGGCTGGTCATTGTCAACGTGAGCATCAGCTGGCCAAACGGGATCTCCATCGACTACGAGGTGTGAAATCTTTGCGTTTACCTTCATCCTAAAAGCACTTTTTTTTTTTTTGTGTTTTGTTTGATCACATAAAATATATTCAATAAAGATGGCGACGCTGCTGTATTGATGTTTAAAGCGTTTATGATCTCTGGGTCATTCAGCAAAAAAAAAAAAAAAAAACAGGGGTTTCTGTGACAAACTTATTTATTTAAAAAAAAAGTATGTTTTTTAATAACATAAATTAACTTGCACACTTGATTAATATGCAAAAGAATCTGTGCAATTTATGTTTGATATTTGTTTTTTACAACACGCTATTCATTCATTAGTTCATTCATGTTAGATGTGATTAAGGTAACACTGAGGTGCGTTTATTTATTTTTATGTATTTAAAATGATCATTTTTGATCTTCAAGCAGCACTGCTTAGAATCAAAACAAATCTTAAATTTCTCCGGGGATCACCTGAATGCTTGATTATATTTTCTTCTTCTTTTGCGGCGCAGGAGGGTCTCCTTTATTGGTGCGATGCTCGAACGGACAAGATCGAGCGGATAAACCTGGAGACAGGAGAGAACAGAGAGCTGGTCCTGGCCAGCAACAACATGGACATGTTTGCTGTGTCTGTGTTTGAGGGATACATCTATTGGAGTGACAGGTGAGCTGTTTTCTGCTTCATACTTTAAAGAAACAGACCGAATCTTGGTGCTATCTCAGATTTATTTATTTATTTTTTTGTTCAGGACTCATGCCAATGGGTCCATCAAGAGAGGTAGCAAAGACAATGCTACAGACGCCGTGCAGCTGAGGACAGGCATCGGTGTACAACTGAAGGACATCAAGGTTTTCAACAGAGCAAGGCAGCAAGGTAAAAACGGTGTAACGTCACATGTTTAAAAAGAATCCTTAACAATAACTTTCCATTTAATACCTGGATGCACCACACCCCCGTTTCTGCAGGCACAAACGTCTGCAAAGAAAAAAACGGCGGCTGTGAACAGCTGTGTCTTTACCGTGGCAACGGGGAGCGGACCTGCGCCTGCGCCCACGGCATGCTGGCCGAGGACAGGCGTAGCTGCCGCGACTACGACGGGTACCTGCTGTACTCGGAGCGCACCATCCTGAAAAGCATACACCTGTCGGACGAGACGAACCTCAACGCGCCGATAAAGCCGTTCGAGGACCCGGAGCACATGAAGAACGTCATCGCCCTCAGCTTCGACTACCACGGCGGCGGAGGGAAGGGAGCCAACCGCATCTTCTTCAGCGACATTCACTTCGGCAACATCCAGCAGATCAACGACGACGGCTCCGATCGCAAGATAGTGGTGGACAGTAAGTTTTGACTTGTCAGAAATGCAGCGCTCGTGTCACGGGTTCACACTTTGTAAGCCGATATAATGTTGAGCTTGTTAGATGGAGTCTGACTGCAGTGGATTCCCCGACCTGATTCAGATTAGATGCAAATGTAAATTTATCACAAGCGTTATTCCTGGTCAATATTATTTATTGATAATTTTACCTTACAGCCCTACTTCTGTTTCTTGCAGGAAGATAAACCCAAGATTATCTTGACTATCTTAAACCTGTATCCTTGCTCAGCCATGTTTTTCATAGCTCCAATTGATTTAAGTTTATTAACTGCAGCTATGGACAAGGTCAGACAAGTAGCTATTTTCTAATAACCCTTTCCTAAATTATGACCATCAAAACACATCTGCTTTACTGAATTGTTGCTTTTTCTTGTCTTTGAAGAGAAATGGGCTTCAGTGTCATGTCATATTTATATATCATGATGCAAGACAGAGCTAGACCTTACTAATTAAAATTTTACAAACATCCTGAACAGCTTAAAAACAGGAAAACATAAGTTAAAAAAAATCACGAGGATCTAAAAAAATTAAGAAAGGGGTTGCAAATAAGAATGGCATCTGTGATTTTTGTTAAACACACAGATGCCAAGATTTGTTTGCATCTGTTGGCGTAAGATGTGTTGCTCCAAACTATATAAATGTTCTCAAATTAAATACTTGAGAATGTTTATATCAAGTAATTTATCTTAAGACTTTTTAAACATCTCTACTATTGAGATGTTTAAGTAGATTGTAGATTTCTTCCAGAGTTAAGTTGCATTGAGCAACAATGTTTTTATTTTAGGTTTTAAAAAAAAAAGTCAGTTTTGAGGTGTGTCTGAGGAAGTTTGATGCTCAAACGGCCGCACCGTGTGCCTGCTCATTAAACGCGGACAACATATCAGGCAGCTTCTGCACCTCGTCCAGCTTTCTCTTCCCATCTCCACCAAGTCTCGTCTAAACTTCTGAGACATAAAGCCGTACAGCAGAGGGTTGACCACAGCTACTGAGGAAGACAAGAGTCTGGCCAAGAGGGCAAAGGTGTTGAAGCCGGGTGAGCTGGCCAGAGTTCCTCTGATGATGGAGAACATGAGGATGTAGGAGGGCAGCCACAGCAGGGTGAAGATCAGCACCAGGAGAGCCGAGGTGTGAGTGACCTGCTGTTGGTAGCGCTCGAGCTGCGGGGCGTTGCCTGTCTGCCGCGCGTGCCGAAGAAAGCAGTAAATCTTGCTGTACATCACTACAATTATGCTTAAAGGCAGCGCAAAGCCGAAGACGAACAGAGCGATGCTGTAGACCAGCCGGCTGAAGTCGGACAGGAAGGCGAAGCAGTACACCGTGTTGGAAAACGTAATTGTGCGGAAGGCAAACTGTGGCGCTGCCAGGGCAGAGGCTGGGATCCAGAGCAGGGCAACTATCACTTTGACTCGCCTGTTCATTCTGGCGCGGTAGGTCCAGGTGGGGTGCACCACTGCCAGGTAGCGTGTGGCTGCCAGAGCCGCCAGGGTGAACACGGAGGCGGTCGAACAGGCCACTCCCAGGAAGCTGATTGCTCTGCAGAGGAAGCCGCCGAACGGCCAGAAACCCAGGGTGATGGCGTAGGTATGGAAGGGCTGGCAGAGCAACAGCAACAGGTCAGCAGCACAGAGAGCCAGCAGCAGGGTGTCCGTACCGTGAGAAGGCTGACTTTCTTTCTTCCTTCTGCCTGTAAGAATAATCATCACCAGAGTTTGACCGATAAGTCCAGTCAGCAGGATCAGTCCGTCCAGGAAGGGCACCAAAGTTTTAATCAAAGCTCCGTCTCCTTTGCTGATTTGGTTAAGGCCGCTGTTGTTCGTCTGGAGCCCAGGAGTCTCCATCCAGTCCCAGTAAAAAAGCCCCGTAATCCAATATACTGTCAGTGTTAAGTATCCGAATGGGATGCAGCATGCGGGCAACTAATCTGTTTGATCCAATTCATGTCTACTTAAACAAACATAATTGCAGTCCACTGAGACAGCCGGCACTTTGATAATGATAGCAATTACTTAAGCTGTTAGAATCACACGGGTCGCTCCTCCATTAACATCTATACTGTGTTCACAAAGAGGGAAGGTTTCAAGATATTTCTTGCAGTTATTCAACAGCTAAATCTTCTTCAGCTCCACATATATAGTCGACTTTTCAGCTTCACAAAACAATGTCCTGATGACATCCAGTGAAGTCCTTTCTTCTTAAAGAAAGTAAGATGTCCCCGTGTTCCTTAGGAAAAAATGTACATGTATAAGGACTTCTGTTTTGCAGCTTTGTTATCCCAGAAGAAGATGGTTGGGTCCGAAATGAGATATCAGTGCTGGAGCTCCAAGGAACAGCACTACTTCCTCTTTGTCACTGTAAATAGACATTACTCTTTAAAAAAAAAAAAAAAAAAAAAAAAAAAACAGTCAGTGGTACTTGATGCAAAGTGCTCACCAGGGCAGGAGGCATGTTGTCGTTGCCTTTATCGAATGTAGAGTCCTTCATGGATTATTGCATGATTAATTCAAACGGAGCAAAAAGAAATAGTAGCTTTTCTAGTAATTAAGTGATGCTCAGGCCGTCCTCCTCCCAGGACGGCATGAAAAGATCTGTCCTGGGTGCCAGTGTTCTTCCCAACAGGCTCTGTGTGCTGTTTGCTTTGTAACCAGGAGCTGAGCTGATGTAGACAACGGGAGGGCCGAGCAGAGCGCGTGATTATATAACAGTGGGACTCATCTTTCCATTATCGAATTAACTTTTTATTCATTCTTTCTTGTTCGGTCCTGTTTGGAGAGTCTGGTTGGGTTTGAAAAACCTTCAAATGAGATTTGTTTGTTTTGTCCTTTAATTTGACCTTTAAATTAAGAGTTTTTTTAATCTTGGAAAATGACCCACATTTATGTTAATCATAGCTTTTCATCTGAAATGTCGATAATGTTGCAATTATATACTTTTAGCCAAGAGCAAACAATGACTTCACCTTTTTATTGTGTGCTGTAAGTGGTCATAAATGCGGTTGCTAACATAGCAAAAAAGAAAAAGAAAAAAAAAAAGCGACAGTTTGGATCCGCTAATGCTACAGCGTCTTGTTCCATAATTTTCACTTTTATAGCTCATGAGATGCGTTACTATTTACTGTTTGAAGTAAGTTTGTTTTTAAGCTGCGGGTGAGGATTCCACTGAACGAGAAAGAATGTGTGGCCTTTAAATTGGTCTGAAGATTTATAGTATCTCTGATACTTGGTGTCATGTTTGTGCTATAATTTTTACTAGAGATTTAAATGGTGGTCATAAATTCTTAAAAACAGGCTGTTTGTGTTGACGTTATACACCCAGTTTATCAGCTGTATTGGTCCACGCAACAGTCAAAACCTCAGAAGTCTCTACTGGTGTTAGCTTGTGGTCCAAGTAGGCATTTCCCAAACTATTTCTTGATGCCAACATTTTTCAAATACTTATCAAAAGTCGTCTAAAATTATTTTGTTAGTGTGATTTTCAAGACAGATTTTTATTTCGCCATATATCTACTTTTTTCCTTCTTTGCTTCGCAGACGTCGGGTCGGTCGAGGGTCTGGCGTACCACCGAGGCTGGGACACGCTCTACTGGACGAGTTACACCACCTCCACCATCACTCGCCACACAGTGGACCAGAGCCGCTCCGTGGCTTACAACCGCAACACCGTCGTTACGATGTCTGGAGAAGACCACCCCAGAGCCTTTGTGCTGGATGAGTGTCAGGAGTGAGTCAGCTGTGTCAGATCTTTGCCTTAGTCACCCGTTTTCTTGTCGAGAATGTTTATTTTTTTTTCTCGGTGAGCGAGGATAGATTCTGTAATAGGGCTTTCTGGCAGCCTGCCACAATTCTTGTCTTCTGCTATTTCCCACCGCAGTCTCATGTTCTGGACAAACTGGAACGAGCAGTCTCCCAGCATCATGAGGGCCTCTCTGAACGGAGCCAATGTGCTGGTGATCATTGGCAGTGACATTAAAACTCCTAACGGCCTGGCCATCGATCACCGCGCCGAGAAACTCTACTTCTCCGACGCCACTCTGGACAAGATCGAACGCTGCGAATATGATGGAAGCAACCGCTATGTAAGGCGGCTCTTTAACTCAATGTTACTTGTGGAGAAACATGACGCCGCTTTGGCACCAAAACACATTGATGCTTTTAAAACCGTCTGCTGTAGGTCTTGTTGAAGAACGAGCCTGTTCATCCATTCGGTCTGGCCGTGTACGGAGACTACATATTCTGGACGGACTGGGTGAGGCGAGCTGTCTTGAGGGCGGACAAGTTCACGGGAGGAGACATGAAAGTGCTGCGAGCCGACATCCCTCAGCAGCCAATGGGCATCATTGCTGTGGCGAACGATACCAACAGCTGTGGGTTTCATTCACTGCGTCCATTTAGTTAGCATGACTTATGAATATGTGTTTTAAATATTTTTCCTTTAACGTCTTTCCTAAAGAGTTAGAAGTGAGATGTTCTAACAGTGGGTTAACTGGTTCATACTGAAATGCCTTGAGCAAGTGCTAAAATGCTTTTACATTTTCATTGTTTGATCAAAAGAAAAATGTTGTATGCTCAGTGATTCAAGGCCTTTTATCATAACGGGAAATAGTTTGGTGCTGCTTTACATCTGAAGTTTAAAATTCTTCTGGGCAGCTGTCACCACATTCATTAATTATTTACTCGGCTACCCTGAGCGCTAAGCCTGGAGTATGGAAAAGAAAAACAGAGATTACACATACTTACTTGCATCAATAGCTCTATAGATGCCCATAAAAAGGACACACTCAGCAGGAAAGCTTGGTATGATGAATACAAACAGAGCACACACACACAGGCAATGACAGTAATAGCTCAGTCAACAGCTTCTTTCAGGAAAGACGTGCAACTAAGCACAAAACCACTAAACCACAAATACATTCTATGAAAAAGAAAAACAAACATTGCATATACCTAATGGCAGGAATAGTAATGTTAATGGCTTCATCAGAGAAAGAGGCACAAGTATATAGAACCAAAGTCTTGAGTACAAGCTAAACACTATATCTCTGGGCCATGAGTACATTCTGGCAACCAAAGATCCCTTTCTCCATGAGTACGTCACTTCCGCATGTTTTGCTGGAAAGAGCATACCAAACAATATTTTACTTAAATACAATGTGGATTTTTTTTTGAGCAGGGAACCATTTATTAACCCGTTTCCTGACTGTAGGTTATACAATGGAAAGCATGTTGCAATAAACAAACCATCCTGTTGTCCTCAGGTGAGTACTCTCCGTGTCGAACAAATAACGGAGGCTGCCAGGATTTGTGTCTGCCCACATCTGACGGACGGGTGAACTGCAGTTGCCGTGGCGATAGGCAGCTCCTCGAGGACAACACCTGCTCTTGTAAGAAGGAAGGAGCAAAACCTGAAGGAGGCCTTGAACTGTGACTAAGTGTTTGTGAAAATGAATGCTTCCCCCCTCTCTCCCTGTCACCAGCGCTGAATATGTCATGCGGAAGTGTTGATGACTTTGAGTGCGGAAACGGCGACTGCATCAACTACAGCCTCACGTGTGACGGGATGGCCCACTGCAAGGACAAGTCGGACGAAAAGCAGTCTTATTGTGGTGAGTTCTGACTGGAAACGGTCAGGTGGAAAATAATAAATCTTGTATATATATATATATATAGCTTGTGGTAATGTATGGTATATAGTAAGAAAATGTACATTTAAGGCTAGAAAAGAAAGTAAAACAAATTAAAGTTGGTTTAAATTTTATACATAACTGGAAATGAAAAAAAAAAAACTTTTTCTCTACAGCCAATCGCATTTGTAAGAAGGGCTACAGAAGGTGTCTTAATGGCCGCTGTCTTGGCCACCAGTTCTGGTGTGATGGCACAGACGACTGTGGCGACAATTCAGACGAAGTGCCCTGCAACAGTAAGTAAAGCCAGTCCACGCTAACCACAACGTGACTGACTGGCACGTTTTAAAGAGGACGTAAACATACTTAATCTGAAGCCTGGATTTTCTTTGCTAAAAAAAATTCCCACTGTCTTTCCTTGCAGTGACTCTGTGCAAAGCAGGAGAGTTCCAGTGCAAAGATGGGAGCTGCATCTCCAACCACACCCGCTGCGACCAGGTGGTCAACTGTGAGGATGCTAGTGACGAAATGAACTGCCGTGCGTAATCCATTGCTAAATTAAAAGCTATAACCTCATGGGATTTTTCAGAATTTAAAAATATGAAGCTTAAAAAGGTTTTGTTTCCTCAGAGCCTACCGACTGTTCGCGTTTCTTCCGCCTGGGAGTTAAAGGCGCCACCTTCCGGAGCTGTGAGAAAACAACGCTGTGTTATCTGTCCTCGTGGGTGTGTGACGGCAACAATGACTGCGGAGACTTTTCCGATGAGAGAAACTGTCCAGGTGGGACGTCTTTATTTTTCTTCTGACACTTTCGACTTCCTTCAGCGCTCCAAAAGATCCACTTTCTTGTTTTTCTTTCCTTTTGCAGATAAGAGGAAGCTGAAATGTCCCGTTAACTTCTTTGCTTGCCCCAGCGGGCGTTGCATCCCGATGAGCTGGACCTGCGATAAGGAGAACGACTGTGAGAACGGAGCTGATGAAACGCACTGCGGTCAGTCTTTGTGTGCAAAGTCGAGCTCATTTTTTCCTAAACACACAAAAGTCTCGCAGAAGAGTCCGACTGTTTTCTTTTGCAACACGTCTTGCTGTTCCTTCGAGATGCCGAACACACCTTCTCTTTTCCTGCAGACAAGTTTTGTTCGCCCACTCAGTTCGAATGTGGGAACCACCGCTGCATTTCCAAGAACTGGGTGTGTGACGGCTCCGACGACTGCGGCGACGACTCCGACGAAGGCCAGATATGTGGTAACTAATATTGCCATTGCTTTCCGTCGCACATTCACTGGAAACGCTCAGCCAGCTTACCTTCAGCTAACTAATCCGCGACTTCACAGAACACAAGTCCTGCAGTCCTGACGTCTTCCAGTGCCCAGGTTCCCACGTGTGTGTGCCCCAGCGCTGGAAGTGCGATGGAGATAATGACTGTCCCGATGGAGCCGACGAGAGCGTGAAAGCTGGATGCAGTAAGTCAGTTCTGTTGTGATTGCAGGAAATGGAAAGAAAAAAAATCCTAAAACGTCCTTTTAATAAAAGCGATTGTTTCTGCTTTCAGTGTACACCAACAACACATGCGATACCAAGAACGAGTTCATGTGCCAGAACAGACAGTGCATTCCAAAGCACTTTGTATGTGACCATGACATTGATTGCTCTGATGGTTCGGACGAGTCCCCAGAATGTGGTTGGTTTTATTTTGTATCAAAAAAAAAATAAATAAATAAAAAAATAATAAAATATATATATATATATATATATATATATATATATATATATATATATATATATATATATATATATATTTTATATAAAGAGCGTGCTGTATATATT